TTCGTTCGTTCGTTCGTTCGTTCGTTCGTTCGTTTGATAAAGCTTTTTGGTTTCCCTTTTTTCTTCTTTGTTCTTTTGTTTGTTGTTTTGTTTGTTTGTTTGTTCGTTCGTTCGTTCGTTTCTTTGTTTTTTTGTTTTTTTTCTTGTCTGTTTGTTGGTTTTTATTCAGCTTGTATTTATTGATATAATTCGTAACATTGGAAAAAATTGCACATACATTTGGAATATTTGCTCTTTTTGGTCTTTTTCCTCTCTTTCCAAAGCAAAAGGTTGCTCTTAGAAGTTAAGTTATATAGCACGAGTAAACTGCGTGACAAAACATCCTAAATGACCCGTAAATCTTCTGGGTTTTTTTGCTAACTAGTAGTTAGCTTGTTTTCGAGGCTACGAAACCTAAGAAACCTATAAGTGGCGAATGTATAGACCAACAGATAGTATGAGCTTCTAAATTTTAACAAATTCCTATGAATTATATGCCAAAATGTTCAGGACAGCCCGGGGTTTTCAAATCCACTTCAAGGAGAGACGATTTTCTAGCTTGACCCCGGTTATGTCATGCACTTTTTCTTGTAAAATACATCCAAAAGCGTACATTCAACTCAAAAAGTACGGTGGTTTTTTTCAATAGAATTCAATCTAAACCATATACTACAGTCCGTGAATAGTTGAATTAACTGAATCCACTTCTGTTTTTTGCCTAGATAGTCATTATTTTGAGAAAAGATCCCAAAACCGTGCTTTTGAGACATAATTTGTATGGGCTCTCATGAGGGGACGTGAGCTTGAAATCGTAGCTGACCAAAATGTTAACAGATTTTTTCTGATGTGCAGATATTGTAATGCCAACGAATTAAAAACCACCAAATATTTTTATTATATAAGTACTGAGATTTACATGTTCGCAAGCTATTTGATAAAAATCATATCACAAAAACGAGAAGCGATCCTATTGGCTATACGTTTTTCTTCACTAGTGAAGAACATCGTATCAGCACTGTGATTGGCTATACGATATTTTTCACTAGTGAAAAGAATCGTATCGAGTTTTCCCGCGCTTCATGCAGAAAGTGTCAGCTTGCGTTTGAGTGTTTGTTGTCAAAAGTTCTTAAACATGGAAGGTTGTTGCTCAAGATTTGCTCAAATCGACTCAATCACTGAGTTTATTGAGAGCCAGGAAAACGAAAACACTAGAAAAAAGACACAGAACGATGTGGCACTCCTAAGGGAATTTTTACAAACGAAAGGAGAGACAAGGGCTATAGAACAGATTCCTACGAAAGAACTCAACGAATGCCTCAGCGAATTCGTCCTCGGTTCCCGTAAGAAAGAACCAGCCAACGAAGACTACGAACCAAGCTCTTTACAGGCTTTTATAGCTAGATTTGAACGATATCTAAAGAAGAAAAATTATGGGGTGAGCATCATCAAAGACGCTGACTTTGAACAGACACGAAAAGCTTTGCCATCAAAGCAACTCAAACAGAAAGGAAAAGGAAGTATTATATTTTTCGTGTATCAGTCATTAGGTTATTTTTTSATTGGTTTTCTTGTAATATCTCAGTACTTATAAAATAAATAAATTACATCATGGTTAGTTCGCTTGTACGGTTTTTATTCACTCGTTGTGAATAAAAACCGTACGCGCTCACTAACCATGAAGTAATCTCTATATATGTAATTATCATAAATCATAGCAGCTCATCCGAATAACAATTCTAGTACATCAAGGGATATTAAAAGCACAGTTAAACATATGTTTCAAGTTGCGTATAAAAAGTTTATGTCGTCAGACACTGGCACACTTACTATCGTTGTCCCTAATAGTGACGGTATAACTGGCTGTATCGTTAATTTTGAAGTCATCAGAACCAGACGGCTTTCTCAAGTTGATTTCAAACGTTTGGATTTCTGTATCTCCTATATTATCATTGATAATAATAATAGTACCAGGTACCCTGTCGCTATTTACTGTAAAAGCCACATCTTTACATTCTGCTTTAATTGATGGGCTGTTTCCTCCTTCGCTTGTTGTACATAATCTGTAGAAAAAAGAAAAATAATTACATCAGTTTAGCATCCTCTACCCGTCGCTTTATGCTAATATTTGATGAATAATTAATGCCCCCGTCCTTCCCCTTCCTTCCCCGTCCCCTTCCCCGTTAAAAATCCGGCCCGTACTGCGCATACACTACTACTGAGTACATTATCTTGATCTCGAATTTAAGAAATAATAAATTATCTATTTTTTCCGATTTTATTTTCACCAATCACTTTAATTTAGATTGGGCTCCCTGTGGGTTTAGTGAATAAAATAATCATATTCAATCTCGACTGCAAGCTATTGTTTCGTAGTCATCCAAGCAAACTCGGGAAATGTCTATTGTACACTTGAACACTCACTTAACAGTAGGTGATGTATCCAGGACACCAACACGACAAATATCGACCCAAAAACGATTGTCTTCTTCGCCGACGTTTTGTGGAAAACCACCAGGACAGAAGAATACGTAGGCTGTAAAGAAGAAAGCGTGTGTGTCGTTAATACATAAGAACACGTTTTGAAGACGTCACAGTGATATGGCAAGCAAGCGCGCGGCAGACCATAACTAGATGTCGAGGTTTTTGGCTCAGACAGAAAAGAAAGCTTATTCGCATTGAGGTTAGCCCTATCGTGAATATCTCCTAGGATCAAATTAACATTTGATATATAGCTGATTTTTGCGGAGGGAGGAAATCCAGACAACCGGGAGAAAAACCCTCGAAGTACGGGAGAGAATCAACAAACAACTCTACTTACTTACAACACCGAGCTGCTCGGCGAGGCTGGAACCCGAGTGGGTCGCCTTGGTGAGAGGCTTCCTCACCACTATCAAATCACGATCATTCTGTTATAACCCAGTTTAATAATTATTCAATCATTCAAATTATTTCCCCCCCTTTTTTTTTTCGTTTTGGGCTGTTTTTACTGTCTATCAAGCATACTAAGTCACAGGGAAGCGAGCCATGCTGACAATTGCAACGTTACTGCGCATGGGCAGAGTATTAGCTGTAGGTGTTATTCGTAGTTGTCTCGGCCAATCAAAACGACGTTAAAATTTTTTTGAATGATAAACGCCATTATGTTTTCGAAAATGGAATTCGAAAGCAAAATAAAACTTCCTTTCAACAACAACAACAACAACAGCAAAAAAAGAAAAAACTTTCGAAGATCACGGAAGTTCTCAACGGAACATGAGATGTGTTCGTTTGTCTTACTCATTACAGGATCTGGTAAAACGTTTCGTTTTGCATCTTGCCCGAGCTATTTCAATTAAAGGCAGATAGATAAGACTTATACCCCCTTTGATTGCTTTCATAAGAGAGCAAGTTTTAAGTTTTAAGACAATGGGTATTTGGGCTGTTCTCGTGAGCGAGGGACAAGCTGAAGATGCTACTGAGACAATACGCTAAAATAGGAAAATCTAAATTCTAACTGAGTGTCACTGTGACTGGAATTCTCGGTTGAAAGAAACGTGGTTTTGCTCAATTTGACAGCCAGAATACATGGCAGCGAAGTTGATTGTTTCRTCTTGCCTCGAGAAGATATTTTGTGGAGCTGAAGAGCTATCGCTGGAAAAATGATGACTGTTTCCTTGAAATACTTGTATTCCTTATCGGGCGGTGCATTTTAAATCGTGAGAAAGCACGTCGCTGAACAACCGAAGCTGTCCTGACGAAGGACGTGTGTTGTAGCTCCTGAGGGAATTCTCGTTACGGTGAACAACAAGAGATTGTCATGATCGATATTACGATCAGAAACACCTGCATGAGACCATAGGGTTATGCCTGTGGCCCTGACACAAGTCAAAATTTGGAACTTCGTCTTCAAAATACATTTTTGGGGGCGTTTTTTTCCTCGAAAGAAACTGTACCGGGAAAACACGAAAGTTGTGACGTCACAACTGTGTTTACATACCCTCATGCAAACATGGCTATCAACCAATCACAGCGTGCGTACTATTTAATTTATTCTATAAACGTATATATATATATATATATATATATATAATTATGCTTTACAACAGTATTATTTAACCAAGATTCAGGTAATAGCTTCTCAGTATTGCAAGCTAATCGAGCTGAGCAACCGGTAACTGTTTTTTTCCACATTTTATAAGATCGGCTTAACTGTAGCCACACTCAGTTTCTGAGTTGGACTATAGATAAGTTTAAGTATTTTGTTATTGTAATTAATTAACATGGCAATTGAAATGGAAATAGAAAAGTAGGAAAAATATATATATCAATAAATTTATGACTATACTGGATGATTGGATTGATAACGTAATACATATTGCAACTTTGTTTTTGTAATATAGAATACTCTTAATAGCCAGCAACAATAGGCCATTGTTGATAGCTATCAAGGAGTATGCTTTTGATTTTATGTTTAAATGAATGAAATGGTAGGAGCTTTAGGGTTTCATCAATTTTATTCCTTATAGTACACTCAACAAAATTACTCGACTCTGATTGGTCGAGAGGAGTACAATTAKAGCGTTAATTGTACTCCGTAGGAGTACCGAATTAAGTCGCTATGGCAACACGGMCAAAACAATGTCAAAACAATTATTTTCTATCATTTTGTACTTAAAAAACATATAAATAAAATTTTAAGCCGTAAGAACTAATATTTTTTATGCATTTCAGTTGCGCGATGAGCTGAAAATCGGCCGCCAAATAGACAAAGATGAATGGCGTCTCTTCGCATTTTTTACTGAAATTTTGTTGAGTGAACTATAAACAAAAAATCGCACGATCTTCTCCTACAATTTGGAATTAATAGACACTCGTAATGTTTTGAAAGTTCTTCAATTGCACTCGCCTAAAGGCTTGTGCAATTACAAGAACTTTCTAAACATTACTCGTGTCTATTAATTTCCAAATTGCACTCGAGATCGTGCGATTTCCTATACAAATTTGGGGCCCAAGTATTTTAAATTGAATTTGCCATAGTTTGTCCTAACAGCAGGAGTACAATAAGTCATTTTTGAAGCTAATCTAGTGTTATACTTATGGACTGAGGAGACACACTGAAAATAGTTATCAAAAGCTTTTGGTAGGAGATTGTTTTTATATTGAAACATGAAAAATGCATTTCATGCGAATATAATATCCTTGAATTTTGATAGTTTTAGTTGAAGGAATAGTAGTTGTGAGTGRCAATCATATGGCGAGAAAGTGATCACACGTACAATTCTCTTTTGCAATGTGATTAATGGTTTCAGGTTAGTTTTATAAGTATTGCCCCAGACTGAGATACCATAGRTAATCAGAGAATACATTAAGCTATAATACAGCTGTATCATTACTTCAGTTGTGGCAAAATGTCTCATTCTTGTAAATATGCCTACGGTTTTGGAGACTTACGATCAAAAATGATACCTAAATATTTTATAGTTAAGTCTTGTTTGATATTTTTATTGATGGTTTTCAACTATTCCCAAGAGAATTAATTAACAAAAGACACGGCGGCCATGTTGGAGGATATAACAAAAGAATTCATTGACAAGTCAAGTCCTCCAACATGGCCAACGTGAAAACCATCAATTGAAGATTTTCAATTGCAAGTAAATGGTATTTTCTTAGGTGGTGGGTGAAATAGCACATATATCTCTTAATATTGATAAAACTAGTTATATAACTAGTTTTATCAATATCAAGAGATAACTTATTGGCTGATAACCAATTACCAAAAATGTAATAGTTCTTGGTTAATTATATTTTCTAGGTCTAGTAATTTTTTATTGTTCATGAACAAGTTGGTATCATCAGCGAAGAGATGGAAGTCAAATAGTTGAGAGCATTTTTGAAAGTCATTCATGTATATTACAAATAGCAGCGGTCCAAGGACTGAGCCTGGGGTACCCCGCATGAAATGTTTCTGTAATTTGAATTGACACYGTTGATGCAAACGAATTGTTTTCTATTTGCTAAGCATGAAGTAAACCATTCATGAGTTATCCCTCTTAAACCATAATACGCTAGCTTGTCCAGTAGTATTTTATGGTTTACTGTATCAAAAGCTTTGCATAAACCTATAAATATTCCACATGAATGAAGGCCTTTATCGGTAGATGTTCGAAGTTGTCTTGTAAGGAGGAAGCAGCGTCTTCAAAACTAACTCCGGCCCGCGTGCACCCAAAACTCAATGAAAGCACGCTAATCAATGACCAATCCTTTATTATCCGCTGCAGTCTACGGTCTTAAAGGAAAATTGTGATACCCATTCATTATATATGGGCTTATTATGGATAGACATTTGAGTTTCTTCGAGAGTATATATGCTTAACCACATAATATGTTTTTGGAAAATCCATGATAAGCACTTTGAAAAACCTACAATCTTGATATTCTAAGGATCTMTGGTTCCTCTATTAATAATCTATGGTTCTTTTATATATCTCCACTGTTCAATAAACATTGATGTATACTTAGTGGAAAAATTCTGAACTGAACAATCAACTGGCGTTCGAACGTGTCTTGGAGGGTATCTTTGTAGAGATGTTTCGCTTTTTGTGTTGCGCCATTGATAACTAACCGATCAGCCGGGTTTAAGATTGCTTATYTAAAACCCATGTTTCATTTTTCAAGGGTTGCGTCATGGATAATTAACCACCCCGTGGATTTTGAAGGGTGTCTTTCGCAATCCTGTTGCATTTTTGCTGTACACAATATCATATAGTAAATTAGATATGACCACAGTACAGTCACGAGTTTGCCGCACCTTTTTCTACTGCACCCAAAACGAGTATTTAATTATATCCTTCAAATCTAAAAATGGTAACTTACTGTCGTCGTTTCGAATGGTAACCAAAGCATCCTGACAAGAGCTTTGTATCTGTACTCTTACGTCACCTGTAAAACATTTGACTGTAAAATTTTCGTCTGCCTCGGGAATAGAATCATTTATGATAGGAATACTCATTTGTTGAACATTGTTGGAACTTGTGAAGCTGATAGCAAACTCTTCTGAGGTGTAATCGCTTGGTGCCGATGCACTGCCATCTTCCGTGGAGCATCTTAGTAAGAAAGAAAAATMTATTTGTGAAAAAAAGTCTTAAATTGCAGGATTACAATCAGCTAATAAAAGTCCTTAATTTTTGTTAAGTGCTCCTGACATTCTTTGATTGCACGTTACGTCATTGCGGCCATGTTGGTAGTATTTGAAAAAGGAATTCTTATTACCATCCATTGTTATTACTACACACGTAACATAGGCCTTTTCTGAGTTCGATAAACAGGGTGCATTGTGGTCTAGATCAAGTACAAACAACACCATATAAGGCATGATGAACAAAATATATTTATCACCCGAAGCTAGACCACAATGCTTTTGTCATGACTCTCTTGGAATGCTTGCCACCCAACAATGTGCTGTCARCAAGAAATAATTTCATTGAAAACTTGTGATTCAGCTGCTGAATATTCTGCGTGAGGCAGGATTTCAATGTGATGCTTCGTTCATAATGCTCAGTGATTCGTGGCAGGAGAAAATAATTTATTCAATTTAGCACGTATTAAGATCTGTCCATATGAGCGTTAAAGGCTCACGAATGCCTTTCGCATTAACAAAGCAATGTGTTGTAATGCTATCGAACAGGAATGGTTGTTTTAAGCAGTATATTTGAACTATATAAGGTATCTCCTGATTGGTTAATGTCTTTTTTTATCTTAAATTTTGTCGTGGGTCCCGGTTATTATGCAAACTGTTTAGTCTAGTTGTTAGTATTTGAAGCTAGATAACCAATCATSGAGTTGATATTCATACATATACATATTTCTAAAATTAATTTGTTATTTAACTCTACATAGCTACTATTGATTGATTCATAGATATACAATTATTAATAAACATGATGTATGGATTTAATTTTTTTAAATCAGCACGCGCACTGGCCCTTTGGGTGTGACAAGTGAAGCATATCTCTGAGTTGGTCTATTCTTACTACTTGCTCCTCCGTCGCTAAGCCCTCAAAAAATGACCTTTGACAAGAGACAATACACATCACGTGATAATAATCCAAGACAGAGAGAAATATGGCTATTATCATTTTTTCCTTTTGCTGTCAATTTCTACGGGGAATTTCTACGCTAAACATTTCCTGTTTATTCAATAGACACCCAAGAATGTTAAAATAGATAGGTATTGCAATTTCTATTGCGTTTTTAAACAAATTGCTTGTTACGTTCCCAAAGACATGAAAGTTCACAAAGGTTAATAGTATTTAACAAATTAAGCTAATGACAAATCTTTTGTTAAACAACACCAACATTATCGCCATAAAGTGATAGTGACAAGTCTATCAAGTGTCTTTTTTTTTACTGCGGTATTAAAATACTTACCCGATAGAATGGGTAAGATTCAAGGCTTGTGATGACCCGGACCTGGTTATTTGGACTTTAGCTGTTTCCGCAGACTCATTGATCTGAGTGTTTCGACAAGTAATATTGACTGAAATGGAAACAAAATAGGACTTATCGTAAGAGTTATGTCAAAAAGTGTGAGCCGCGAAAACATGATTTCGATTAGAGAGGTACTGTAACTACTGGTACTCAATATAATCATCCATATATCATTTATAGACCCATTCGTTTAGCTTGGGCGTAACGTTTTTCCATTATAGACTACATGTTATTCTTTTAGAAGTATTTTTTTAATTTGTAAAAGTCATAAAGTAATTATTTTACGGCATTCAAGAAAATTCCTCGGATTTATGTAGAAATGTCAGCGAGCAACAACTAAATTGTCAGTCTTATTATACACACTTAAATGAAGACAAGTCAGGGTATAACATTTCTAAACGAATTTTTATAATCCGCTTATTTCACAGAGTAAGTAAATAGTTTCTGAGTGAATCAATGCATGTAAAAAAGTCAGACGGGACATCATTGAGAGGTCAAGTCATATGAGTAATGTAACGCTCATAACGCAACGCTTTTGTCAACGGAACGTAWGAGGAGCACAGGGAGCCCAATACCTCAAAAGTGCAAGTAGGATTCAGAAGGAATCCACAAGTTTTCCATGCAGAAGTTTGATTACTTACCATCATCATCTGCAATGTTGATTGTGTGTCTCGTGAAGTTCTCCTTCCCATCGAAAGCATTATCGTTTTGAATCGTAAAGATAATAGTTTCACGAGCTCCCTTTTCAACAAGTTTATCATTGAGTATAAAAAGATTGATATTTTGATTTGATGCATCATTAGCCGGAAAAGTTACCACCAATGATCCTGGTATTAGCACGTAATCACTATCCTTGGTTGCGGTTCCGCTTAAAACTAAGCTGTAGAAGAAGAAAGTAAACATGAAAAAGAAGTTTATTGATGATCTTGAATTTGTTTTTAAATGTTCGTCAGAGAAATATTAGAAACAATACAAAAAAATAAAGAAGAAGAAGATGAAGAAGAAGAAAAAGAAGAAGAAAGAAGAAGAAGAAGAAGAAGCTTGAGCTGCAAACGAATTTTTATGGAAGATTAAAGGAAGGAAGGAAGAGAGGGAGGGAACAATGGGGACACTAAATTAAATGAGGAAAAGAAGATGCAAAACACAATAGCAAAACACTTACGTCRCTGTTGTTTCTATGTTTGTTTGATTAGTTCTTTGAAGACTGATGGTAACCAAACCTGACGTTTCAACTTTATTTGACTCAGTTGACGTGAATCCTACTATTGGTTTAGCAGAAACTTTAGGAAAGAAATTAAAGAACAAATTAGTAAAAATTGGCATGTTACCTTCAAATACAAAAACATATAATTCGGAAAGGAAGAAAGAAAAACAGAAAGACAGAAGCAAAGTAACGAACGAACGAACGAACGAATGAACGAACGAACGAATGAACGAACGAACGAATGAACAAACGAACGAAACGAGTGAACAAACGAGCGAACGTTAACGAGCGAACGAGCGAACGAACGAATATTCTTCGATTGCACGTTACGTCATCGCGGCCATGTTGRTGCCATTTAACAAAAGATTTCTCATTAGCATCCATAGATATCTCCCGTTCTCTTCTTTTCTGACCCAATTGTTATTGGATGTTGTAAAATTCATGAATACTTAATATGAGGGCCTAAGCCAATACAGCTCTAGAAATTAGGTCACATGAATATCATGTAAACCCGATACAAACCTTACATTTAAAATGCTTATTAGATAAATCACTATTGGACGTATACTGTTCTGATACCTGTACTAGAGTAGTTTTCATAAACCCGTGAAATRCACACTAGCCTAATACAAATTAATAGACCCTAATTCCATTCTGTTCTTTTGKTGTCATTTCACTATTACACACCAATTAAATGATATCTGTTTCACGGGTTTATGAAAATCACCCTAGTGGTTGTATCTATTTAGCATATGAATTCAAAATGTCCCAAAGGAGTTAAGAATTATTCACGGAATTTCACAAGTTGTTTACAACATTCACGTCCTTGTTGTATCGCCCATACAATCACGAGCTGGTCGATACAACACGGCTCATATTGTAAACATTACTTATCAGATAATATTTGAGATTGTCGTCATAAAAAAAACGAAGCTTCTCATACTTTTTATCTATTTTTTTCTTCTAGTAATTGTTTTCATTATCCTTCTAGTATTCGATATTTTTCACTCGATTTTCTTCCCTGCCTATCAATGTTTAATGATATTTATACGATGTTCAAAACGACATGAATATCCTTCTAGTATCCGATATTTTTCAATCGATATTTACCCCTTACCTATCAATGTTTAATGATATTTATACGACATTGAAGTGGACAGGAACATCTTTCTAGTATCTGATATTTTTCACTCGATATTTTTCCCCTGCTGCCTATCAATGTTTAATGATATTTAAACGATGTTCAAAACGACATGAATATCCTTCTAGTATCCGATATTTTTCAATCGATATTTACCCCTTACCTATCAATGTTTAGTGATATTTATTATATAATAAACTATAGTTGTTTACAAAGATTTCTACAACTGAGAAATTTCGTATTTCAACACATGTAAAAATACGTACTCGATGAGTACATGTGTCTACTGCTGATAGATAAACAGCAACATTTTTGAATCATGTATATGTAGAATATTCTTTTGCAGGTATTCAGGGCTTAATATTCTGCTTACGGAGCTCAGTTATCCCTTTAAAGGGCTCAAATGTTGTCACTGTAACAATCTGAGTAAGTTTCACATCGCATCGGTTCTGTAACAATCGTTCATGAAACGGCATTGTTGACATGCTTCGTGTAGCACAACCACGCCAATTCAGTGGTCGTTTTTTGCGATAAATTCTTTCTAGATATTGCAAATACCTGAAAGCACTTAAATTAAAGTGTATATGACACGAAAAAATTTTAATGTTAAGAATGTGTAGTTTA